ATTCCGGGTTATGTTACTTTTTGAACAGGTCATTGGAATGCACTATTACGAAATTGCCTAGTATAAGTGTTACAAATTTTCAATTTCTTGGGACTTAACATGATGAACACAAAACAGTAGATATAAGATGTATTTATTCATATTTATACATAATCATGTTAATCACATATTCATTAATTTACTTCAAAAGTTTCTTTATATTCAAAAACTGTCTCATTATTTTTAAAACGATTCAAATTTAGACTTGCGACTCTCGAACGTTCATAAAATCAATCATGCGGCTCCCATCGTCTTAAAGTTTGGCCATCCCTGCCATATAATCAGGCTAATTAAATACATAAGAAATAATGCTTTAAGCACAATAGGGTTAATTTCAATGATGAAAAATGTTGTCATTGGCATTTTGGTAGTCTTTTGGGCATAATGAAAAATATCATTTCCATTTTGATAGTCTTCCCCACATGATGAAAAATGCTATCATACACAGTTAACAGGTCAGAGTAACATAAAAATTAATCTCTTCTATTGGGGTTAAGGAGAAAGCATGCTACATAAATTTTTCTCTCGATGGTTCTACTTGGTTTTTGAAGTCAGTTTTAATTAATAACTAGGTAACACAATAAAGAGAAAAATATTAGAGGAGAGAGAAAAGGAATAAAAAAAAAAAAAAAAAAAAAAAAAAAAGATGGCAGTGTTAAGAAGGAAAGACAAAGAGGACAAGATTTTTAGAGTTTAGTGACAAAGAAGAAATGGATATATATTATATATATATATATATATTTAGTGAGATCAGGAATGCATAAGAATAGAACAGATTTGTGAGAATAAGGATGATAACAATTTATCAGATGATATCTAATAAAGGATCATCCTTTGAAGAATGACCAACAGAACTTCACTGTAATTTAATGTGTGTTTGAGACTGCTAGAGTCTATTATTTAGTGTGTAATGAAAAAGAAAAAAGAAGAAGAAAATGAGGAGGAAAAGAGGATAAAATGAAGAAAAGAGCGAAATTGATGTGATGTTTCACTCTACAGATATTTAAGAAGATAAATACTTAAGAATAATAATTAATTAATAAGACTAATACTTAAGAGTGTGGATATTAAACATGTTTCTGTTTAATATCCACACTCTTAAGTATTAGTCTTATTAATTAATTATGATTAATTAATTAATTATTATTAATTAATAAATTTATGCCAATCCAACAGTGATGATTAAGGAGAGGCTTTCTCTTGAGCATTTGCGGTGATTACAACCTCGGAAGACCTGGAATTTCTGTTTCTTCATTGTAATGTGATTAGTGATAACAAACATGAAGTATTCCTGCCTATGACACCATAGCCAGAGATTATTTTCTGAGTATGTTCTTTGATTTAGACATGTGGATTCCTGAATAATTCTGATGGCTCAGACCTGTGTTCTACTGCCCTAAAGCAATTATGTAAACTGCACTGAAAAAAAAAAAAAAATGAGAGAGAGAGAGAGAGAAGAAGAAGAAGAAGGACAGTTTATTATCTCTTGTTCTACTGGGCCAGTTCACGAAATTCAAATTGCGTTTTTCATGTCTCAAAAGCGCGACTTGGATTTATGCATAATATTGATTTAATATAGCTATTTTAACACAAAATCATACCTTTTCTGAAATTACATGCCAATTTTTTCCATATTTCGATTCTATGACTCAAATTATGTCTAAATATTAAATTTTGTAACATTTGGTGTAAAATTTATGGAAAAATTAAAAATTTTATCTTGGGATATTTTTTTTAATTTGGCCCATGAATAATTTACTTGGGGAACTTTTTAATTTATAGCAACCTATCCTCCTTTCCTTTTTTCATTGTAGATGAGTAAAAAAAAAAAGTCATCATTCATACTTTCAAATAATTTTAACAAAGTGCCGTAAACCACATCTGACATTATTATTGCTAATAACAAATACGCCAAATTTCAAAATGTGCTGATATGTAAATTAATGTATATCTTAGAAAATTTTGAATAAAAACCTCTAATTTTTTGCAGGTGTGCCTAGAAATACATCTACTTTAGAATGACGTTACGAATTTTATAGGTTATAATAAAAAAAATTTTCGAAACATTTATAAAAATTACTTAAAAATACAAATTTTTTAAATAAATCATAAAAACTGACGAATTTCATTTGGAATGAACCTAAATTTTGAAATGTGAAAGGAAGAATCAAATAAGTTTAATAAAAAAAGGGGATATTAACAAATATATACCAAATTCAATTAGCATTGAGAAGTTCAAATTTTGAGGGCTAATTTTTTAAAAACTATTCATGAAATTTTTACAAAACTTAGCCATTTGGCATAATTTGAGGCGTTGAATCGAAATATGGAAAACAATTGGCATGTCATTTCAGAAAAAGGTCCAATTTTATGTCAAAATACCTATATTAGAACAATGCTATATATAAATCTAATACATATCCTAAGTTGCGCTTTGGAGACATGAAAAATGCAAAAAATGCAAGTTGAATTTCATCAATCGGCCCAATAGAACAGGAGATATAGAACTGTCCCATTTTTTCTACCTTCAGATTCAGCTGCTTTAAAAGAAAACTTTCCATTTGCTTTTCAAATTGAAGAACTTTCATGTGCTTAAAATTAGGAAACTTGCTAGTTAGTGTGAGGTCTTCATTTGGTAACCTTGAGAAAATGTTTTCAAAAGAAATTGTTAAGTTATAATCAAGAAGGTATGATGTAACTCTTCACATCATCCTGCACAAGTATTTCTCACCTTCTCTTAGCATGTATAAATGATTTTGTAATCTTTAACATCTAATTCTATCTAGGTCAAGTTTCTTCTCCTATGTCTATTAGATATTTTTTTTACCCTATGTCCATCTTTGGCATTTCTGCCATTAGTCAACGAGCAGCCCAATAAAATAATGAGAGTGTAAAAAGCAAGGGTAAAAATTAACCTAGATAGAGTTGTCTGTAATAAACTTAGAATGTCTGTAATAAATAATAGACCAGTTCTTGAGGTGGTCACCATCCATGTCACCTCTGACACAAACGGCAACAACCTGAAAATTTAAGTCCAATCTAATGTAAATGCTGCTGTAAATAATCACAGCCAGTTATCAAATGAAAAAGCAACTCTAAGAGCCCAAGGCAAGGAACTGGAGATTTTATTTGTGTATTACAGATATGAATAGTAAATTTATTCATAATTTGTTTGTCTTATTCAAGATCTAATATCTTTCTAAGGAATTTGGTTCCATATCAGAAACTGATATATGTTATGTAAAAACCTAATGTATTAAAAAATGAATATTTGTGAATTTATACATTTGTTTTATTTATCTGTCTCTCACAGTTTTACCAGCTTGAGAGTTAAAACTATTTTATGCAGTAGAACCCGGATTGCATAATAAAAATCTAGATTAATATGAAGTAACTTTTAATTTGTGCACCTTAGCTATTTTACCACACTATACATCCACATACCAGATTTGATGTACAAGGATTTCTTCTTCTGGGGGCACATTGAGAACATGATCTACAGAAGTCCCATTGTATCCAATGAAGATCTAGTAACCACATTGTTAGCTTCTACAGGAAATATACACAAAATGTCTGGGATCTTTGCTAACATATGCTAATCCATGCACCACTGCCATGAACCTTGTATTATCATTGGCAACTGCACTCACGGTAAAAAGTTAAATCATTAAAATGTTTCTTTTGATTTTACTTGTCTTTTACACCTAATGTTCATGTTTTCATATGTGCTAGTACTTAAAACACCATTTCCGCAGACATATTCCATTACAGAATATGCTTATTTGGGTTTGCTTTACCTGCCTTTAAATCTTTGTTAGGTATTTTAGGTTCACTCACTAAAGTCATATTCATGCACAATAAATAAATGGATGGATGTGAAATATTCAATATCTAGTTAACAAGAACATGTCAGAAATTATATCAGCAAATATTCCTCTTTCATTATTTCTCAGAAATATAATACAAGATTTTATACATGTCAAAATTTTCGCAGTACATAGAGCCAATTTTAATTTGTTTTATTACTGTTTGCTGAAGAGCAACTTTCTCAGAAACATAATATTACCAAACACCTGTATTTGATTTCTATATATATTATATATATTTTTAAGTAAAACACCTTTAATCTAAGTTCCCTTTATCATTCTGCTTAGAAATAAAATCCAAAAACGCTATTATGTCAGCAAAGAAAATAAGGAGTGGGTTTAAATTTGATTGCTCTTATATCACATATTGAAAATGAATCTTTTCATCCATTGTTCATATAATACATCGTAATAATTTATTACATTGTAGGTTTCATATTGCATTTCATTATGCAACAATTTAGTAATTTAGTATTCTTTTGATTTCTTTAATTTTTAATTATTATTGTTTGATATGTAAATAATTATAATAAGTAAAGTTTAAGTACTTTTTAATAATGTTTAATTAGACAGTGTTATTATGTAAAATATGATTTTCTCATTGATTCAATTTTAAGGAAATACATAAGTTTTTACTAGTTAAGAAATTATTAAATTTTTGTATGTAAATATTTAATAATCAGATATTAAATTTCTGTCTTCCAATAAAATTTCAAGAATTATGTGCTGTAAAAAGTATAGTTTAAATGACATAAAAATTGAGTATAATTTACTTGATGCTCTAAAAAAGATTTAAATTACACAATAATAGGAAACACAAGAAAAATGAGTAAATGCTCTGGTGATTGATAGCTATTAAAAGTCTAGAATTTAAACTTTGAATAACTATGCTACTTCTTCTTACAATATAATTGTAAATCAATCTGAATATCCACTTCTTTTGTTGCATAATTTGTTGCAAAACTATACTGAAAACAACTGGTGACAGCATTACATTAAAAATAATTTTATCAGTAAATATTAATGAAAGTTAAACAGAAGAAATAGATTTATGAGAAAAATAATTTATTTATTTTAAAAAAACAGAGAACTTACTTCGAGTGGATAAAGAAAATTGCCTACTAAATAAAGTAAGACATAAAATGGCACAATCTGAATTCTTTGAATCAAATATCTATTTGCCGGGACATAAGAACTGTATGGCAAATAAAACATATCCGAAAAGGTTCTATATTTGTAATAAGGTCCTGTGAAAAAGAAATCCACCATAACCACTCAAATTCAAGATGAAATAGTGTCATAAATATATATAACAAAAAAATATTTTTCTGAAAAACCTATTATTTTAAATAATACAATTTGATTCTATAAGATGTAAAAGAACATCATTTTTAAGAACCTTTTAGAAATTTGCATAAATATAAACATTTACCTATTAAGACTCCAGCAATACAAAATGCATAATGGAAAACATCAAAAAATGAGGGCTTTATTTTTCTGTATTTTATTTGAATTTCAGAATTAGGATCCTTTGCTTGAAGTTCTTCTTCTTCTTTGATTTCAAATGCAATACCTACCATCTGAAAGACATTTTATTATTCATACTAAATAGAAAAGAATGAAAAAACATTTTACATCATAATATCTATAAAATTTTACATTTCTTAAAGATAAAACTACCGAACAAGAAATTTTCAAAGAAAATTTTGTATTTTCCACACACAAACACCAAACCCTTTACGAGTAAAATAATACATGACATATATATTTATTCAGGCTATGCAAGATTATTTGAAAAACATAGCTATGATGTCAACTCCCAATTTTCTAGGAACAGAGTAACTAGACTGTTTAAATAAAAACAAATACAACAGTTTAATTTGTTTATTGAGGAAAAACGGGAAATTTTACCACTATCCAGCCCCCAAAAAAGAATTTTAATCAACTTTTTTATGAGAATTTGAGCAGAATGATATTATTCAAGCTGTCTTGTAAATATTGTTCTTTAATTCTATGGTAAAATACCTAAGCCAGCTTGTTTTTCATTTATTTAATGTGTAGTCTTCGACTACATTATCAACGTTTCATTTGAACTGTCTACTATGCTAATTTAAAAATCTACAAGCAGTGAAAACTTCATCTATAGCACTAGCTGTGCCTCTATGTTTAATGTGACTAGAATAAAAATGTTATTTAAACTTTCTTCTGCATTTTGAGAGTTGTTTAAGATGAAACAATAACTCACAATTTGTCTAACAGGTGTGCAGACTTTTAAGTCTAGCTCCCAATTACACTACAAACATCATTGCAAAGAAGGTTCACGGCCCTTTGATGCAGTTTAGTTCTATCATTATTTTCCTTCTCAAGCATCTAAATCTAAATAGCAGATTAAGAATTAAGTGACAAATTAAAGCCCTTTGATGCACTTTAGTTCTATCATTATTGCCTCCCTCAACCATCTAAATCTAAATGCAGATTAAGGATTAAGTAAAAAATTAGTCTTCTCCATCTTCTCCAGATTTGATTGCATGTATTAGGCTATTTTTTAGATTTATAATTTTCAATTTGGCTTCCAGCAATACTATCATGGTTTATTTATCTTTTACCAAAGAAATAGCATGTATGCACAGAAAATAAAGCAAAATTTTTAATCTTAAAGGTGAAAATTTCAGTAAAGCTGAAAAAAATAATGGAAATATTATTGAGAACATTGGAGAGTTAAAAAAAATTAAATTGTTGTAAAAATTAAATTGTTTTTGGATAATGAGTGATTTCACCAAATGTTTCACCTAATCCTATAAATATGAGTTCAACATTGATTTAATATGAGTAAAAAGGATAAAGAGAGGATGATACATTTTTTAAAATTATGATTTTGAATGCGGTTAAACTTTATTCACTTGCAACCACTGCTGAATACTCATTTGCCTAGAGAAAAAAAAGCACCATCAATGGGCAATTGGTAAGGCTGAATACTGGGAGTTTATCCCAGGCGAACAGGCTGGCTGCATGGTTGGATTTATGGCTGGGTGCATATCTTATTCATAGCACATTACAGATTCTCACTGAATTCATCATGAACTTTAATCAAACATAACGTACAATTAAAAATTGTTCTTTATTTCAAGACTTCAAATGTGGACCACTCTGTGCTTCTACCAGAAGCTTCTCCTTAGGGTTATCGTATTTATCGGCAATACAGGTACAAGGCACACTCTTTATCACTATCACCACAAAGTCCCTCTTCCCTCAGTTCCTTTAATGGCAATTCATAGAAATGATATCAAATATTTCAGAGGATCTGTACTGTTGATATTTCTTTTCCCTTAACAACAAAACTAAGATGTGAAATTAAAAGACATCAAAATGTAATTGAACATATGGCAAGGTTATAATGCATACATATAGAAAATATGTTACAAAACAAATTTTAAAAAAACAAAAACAAAGAGGAGTTTAAACTGTAATGTAAGAAACAAATTTTTCTGAGAAGTGTACTATATATCTGTACAATCCGCTATAAGTTTGCACTATAAGCAGTTTGGAAGAGATTTATTCTGTTAAACTGTCTTTAAGTCTCTGTTTGGTTTTGGTCCAGGCAAATCAGCATCTGAAAACAAACAGGCTGGTTTTGAATGGATCTAGTCATAGTAGATTTAAAGCCATTAATTTCCATTGTCAATGTTCTGTCTGTTCTTGTGAGGATTTTCTGAAGATCTGAGTGTGGCTGGCACTGCAAAAGCTTGACGTGATCAATATGTAAGTATACATGTTTACATAATTTTAAAGTAGAACTTGCATAATACTTACCTTGACAGTGTCATTATTGGGTTTAGTTGTTGCATTCAATACTAGAAAATCAGTGACAAATTGAGTGTCATATGGATCTTAGATGTCACCTTAGATGTGTTACTATATCACTAAAAAGCCTGAGAGTTGCGCCATACACAGTTCTGAGCAAGACATCAACAACTCCTCCTTGATGGCTGTCCAAATACCAAGCAAAGCAGCTAGGAATATTTCAGTCCAGTTATTAGTCTCATGAGTATTGAAAGAAGATTTTAAATGTCGATGAAATCTTTCAACAATGCCACTTGACACTGGATGATAGGCCATCATTGTAATCCTGTTTGTACCCAAAATGCATGTAAACTCCTCAAATACTGCAGATCTCCTTTGAAAACTTGACCTGCTGTTATGACCAAAAGGCAGCCAAAGTGAAATATTCACATGTTGAAAATAGCTCTGAAATAAGTTACAGTTTTCATACCAGGGTTAGGAATGACTTCAGGCCATCTGGAAAATATATCTATTAGACTCAAAAAGTACATGTTACTTTCTTATGGAGCGAATAGGCCAACAATATCCATGTGAATTTCTGAAAAACATGCATCAGGAAGAGAGAATGCACAGTGGTGCTTTAGTGTGCTTGTGTATTTTTCATCTCTAGCAAGATTCACAAGATTTCATTCAGTTTTCAATATGAAGCTCCATATCAAGCCAGTGACTAATTTTGAAAATAAAATACAAATGGTATTTAATTAATTCTCAGTCTGAGTATGCTGTAATATTTGTGGAATAAATGAAGCGCAGTGAAATGATTGCACCACTGTTTGGAAAAATAAAAAGTAAACCATATATAGGAGATGTTATTACACTGTCTTCTAAAAGTTATACACACGATGGTAAAATCAACAAAAACAGAAAAGTAAAGCTTTTAGACACCAAACTGCAAATGAAGGTAGAAAATGTGTTTATGCATGAAAAAATTACAAACATATGTACAAAGTTGAAAACAATATTTAACTTTTGTAAATTTATGAAGATTTCATATTCGGGTCATTAACAAACTGGTGTTTAAAGCTAAGAAATAAACACACAGAATTTATTTTAATGAGGCATTTGACCATCCCAGATCTTCATACAACTATTGCAGAGATTTCCAATGCCTTCAGTAAGGTGATCAACATTCGCAAGTGCTATTAATGGCCATTCCTCCAGCAGGGCAGTTTCCAACTGTCTAAGACTGGCTGATAGAGATAAACATGCAGAAACAGCATATATGAAGACATCTCAAAGATTTTTAATGAGATTAAGTTTGATGAGCACTGTGGTCACTCCATACAAGAAATTACTCGTTAATAATGTTAGCCCCATGGAGTTGGATATAATAATTCATAAGGAGGAAAACAGAACCAAGTGCTGCAATGTGGAATCTCACATAGGGGTGTAAGACTTCATTCGTAATACCAAACACACATCATAGAACCATCTTTAAAGATTTGCAGCTACGTGTGATATCCCACTGAATTTCCAGCCTACACCATAATGCTGCCATTCTGAATACATGATGTTCAATGATTTATACACTTATCATCTGATTTCAGAACACTGTTTTATCTTGTTATTTAACAAATAAATATATTAATTATTGAAGAGGCAACGCCATATTTGTATGACGTAAATGTTGCTCAGCAACAGAAGAAAATTGTTTTAAGATTAGAATTCTGAAGTTTGACCAGCTAGCAGATGTATGAAAATTTTGCCACTTAATTGTATACAAATTATCTACCTCTACACACTAAAAATAAAATTTATGTTCTACTACGATTATTTGTTTTGTCAATTACTGCAAAATACATTACAGTCTTATTAAACTGGAGGTTCCACTGAGATACTGGAAATTAGGAGTGCAATTATCAATTTCGATATGCTGGTCTCCTAATCACAGTAAGTTGAGGAAATTTTGAGAACAAGTTTGCTAGTATCAATTGTCGAGTTTATTCATTTCAAGGAGAAACAGATGTCAGAAGTCTGTGGTTTTAAAGTTAGATTTTGAAGCGGGTCATTCAACAGTTATCTTCTGTGTTTCTATAACTTGCGTCCGAGCAAAGAATTGTCAGAACAGGATATTGCTGATCTTCGAGGATAAGATAAACTTTTCGTTTTCATAAAAAAAGTATTTATTGAATTTAAGTATTTCATTTTAGAATTATATTTAAATAGTTTAATTTCTGTGTAAAATAACTGATACTAAAAATAGGTGTAATTTATAATTGATATTTGTGGTAAAGAAGTATTTTAAAAATTATTATTTAGGCTTTACTGTTATTTGTTTTGATTTGGGGGGGTTGATAATTGATATATGGAAGCCATCCCGGCATTTATAAAAAATAAAAAAAATTAAAAAAAAAAAAAAAAAAAGAACCGCTAGCTGAGTTTTTGAATTAGTTGCCAAGCAGGCACGTGGAAAATAAGTAGTAATGTCAAACTGACGTAGTGTGATTTGATTATACTGCAGAATTGGCAAAAGTTTTTTCATAGTTCTCGCCATCCAGGCGTGTGGTAAATAGTAACGTCATCCCGACGTATTACAGATTCTATTGTAAAAATTGTATTGCCAAAGTGGCAAAAATTGTATTTGTTATCGCCAACCAGGCATGGAGATAGACATTAAAATCCTCAAACTGACGTGTGTAAAATTCCATCGTAATGCCTAACTGTCAAAGGTGTTTACACAGTTATAGCTAAAGAGGCTTGTGAATAGTGAGTTAGAACGTATGGAAATTTCCTGTTATGT